AAAAAGTGGGATGATCAAAGACATGTAGTATTAGGCAAGCAATTAAAAGAAATAAATCAACAAAGTAGAATCGAAAATGTAGCTAAATTAAAGAAAGATCTAGAAATACGCGAAAGATTTTTAACTTTCTTTGAAAATGAAGAACAAATAGAACTAGAGATAGAGAAAAAGGAAGCGATAGAGCAGGCCGAGTTGGATCGTATTAAAAAATTGCACCGTGTTGAGTTGAAATTGAAGAAATTGGAACTGCAAGAAGAATATGTACCACCTAAAATTGAGCGTCGCAAAAACTAATTTTTGATATAATCATAGTTGGTAAATAAAAATGTGTTATTAAAACTTATTAAAGTTATTTAATAAAGCACTTTAATTAAAGTTATTTTTGGAAGGATAATAACTGTAAGAAGCAGTAAAATTTTTTTACATGTTATTTATCTCTCATACTTTGTACATAATCACTTAAAAGTATTTTCTTAAATGTTTATTATGTAGGTTTATAGCAGATTTCATCAAAGCTATTATACTTCTGAGAAATATGAAAGTTAACTGTACAATTAAATATTATGCTAAAAAATTATTAGGCTCTGTAACAAATAACGTTCCGTTTGAGCGTTGATAGTGAATAAACTTATGTTACACACTTGGCCCGATTGTGAGCACGATTAGTATTATGTAACTCTGGACCAAGGCACACATCCATCAATTATCCTTAACAAACTTACAAAGACTGCTTTATTGGCAGCAATGTATCAAATTCTGCATAATTATAAAATTTGGTCTTCAGAATCGTATTTGTTTAAAAGGAATGTCCTGCAAATTTAGCAACAATAATCTTTTACATTTTATAAACAAATTTGTAATTAAATTTAGTTAATTCTCTTCTTCAACATTAATTGAATTTTTACCTGGTCGTTGTTATTATAATTTATATTACAGTATCACAGGTTATTCAAGAATCACGAAGTTTTATTTTGTAGTTGTGCTGTTAACTCTGCTGTTTCTTGTTTCATTTGTTTTAAATCAGCAGTTATCCTTTCCAAATTTGCTCCAACATTTTTTGTAGTTTCCGAATCAATCTAAAACGAAATAATAGGCACTTAATAGTTTTGAAATGGAACATGCATTAATATTTAAATATAAAAATGGTTTTTAACGGTATGTATTATTTACCTGCTCTTCTAAGTCTCTTATCTCTCTGATAGTTGCACCTGTTTCTTCAACTAATCCTACAAGTTCACTACAGTCAGAATGAAGCGTGGCTAGTAACTTGTAAGCTTTCCTGGATGCTTCATTAGTTCTTGCATCCCGAAATATTAATTCGTCAACAACAGTAAATGATCTTTCTAATCTGCCAGTAAGGGTGTTGATATCTTTTTGAATTTCTCGCGTATCAGCTAATACTTTATTGATTTCGTCCCTTTGTTTCCTAATATTATTGATTATTTCTAATATTCGTTGCGTATATGCTGACCTATTTACTTCTTTAGGAAGCTTTTGAACTTCACTCACTAATTGCGAGTATTGTTGATCTTTATTACGACATTCTTCTTGGAGTTCCCTTTCTTTCTCTTTCAGTAACTTGATCTCATCAAGTTTCTTTTGGCTTGCGCTCTAAATTATATAAAATACATGAAAGTCTGAATATGTGTATGTAATTTGAATTTCATTTTATACTAAAATGCTAATACTTACAGCTTTTGTAGAATGTTTTTCTCTTTCTTGCCTATATTTTTGAATAAGGGGTACTCTATGCTTTTCCCATTGATTACCTAAATTAATTAATTTATTTGTAGTAGCTTCAATTGCTGCCTCCAATTTCTTAATATTTTCTTCACCATCTTGAAATAGATCATAAATTCTTGCTTTAATCTTTTTTTGTTCTTCATTAATTGTTAATTCTTTCTCTTCATTTTGATAATTTATTGTTACTTGTGTTACACTAGTAGTTAACTTCTTGATTGTATCTTGCAACTCCTCTATATCATCTCTAAGATCTTCACATTCTACTTTTATCCTTTCTACATGTAAGTCTTGTTTTTCCACTTTATCTAATATTTTTTGTTCTGTAAGCTTAGTTTCTCTAGTACCATTGTTTTTTATCTGAGATTCCTGTGTACAAAGAGATAATAATAAATTAATGAAGGAGTATTGCAAATATCAATATTATTTTTTTAAAAATTACATTGGAAGCTAATGTTGTATCTTTTATTGAGACTCTATTAAGAACATTGTCACCAGATATGTTAACTTCAGTAATTTTATCACAATGTTGTTTATTTAACCAATTTATTTGGTCAAGAATACTCGTTGAATGTAAATGAAGAGCTCTTGCATTATAAGATATTAAAGAAGGAAGAACAGATGATTGATTTTGCACTTGTTCAGGCACAGACTGTAGATAGTGTATGCAATAGTCTTGATATTCTGCTATGAACAAAATGTTCTTAAATTAATTTTTATTATTACAAAATTAGGAGTTATTAAACATAATTAATAATACCTGATAACTCCTGTAGTTTTGGGACTTCTAAATTTATAGATTTATAAGAGACTCTTGCTCTTCCTTTATTTCTAAATCCCTTTGTATGACAAAAATGTGGCAACCATGGAGCTGAAAGGCCTTGTGATATTGCTGATGCTATAGATTTTTCTAATAATGCAATATTACTGACAGGTTCACTTAGGGGTTTATCACTTTCTTTAGGTAATTTTTCAATAAGAAACATAAAAACTTTTCTTAGGTCAGCTTCTGAACTATATAAAAATGTTTGATAGCCAATATCACCTTTGTATCCTAAATCCTAAATTTATAAATTAGGTATCAGTAAAAATAAAGTATGAAAATTATACAAGTAGTTAAAATTTATAGTTTCATAATATCTTACTGAACATGCTTGAGCAAGTGTAGCACCCAGTCGAAAACGGGCTGCCATATTTATAGGTAAAACTGTAGATAATCCAAGGCCTGATTTTATTATATCCAAACATTTTATTGTTGCTTCTACCACTAATTCTGTATTAAAACCACTGAGATTTGTTATATTTTCTTCTATGTCACTAAAAAAGAATTATGAGAAAATTTTGTACTATTTCAAAATGTAGAATAATACATTTTTAAAATTAGTTAAAAAATTATTACAAATTTCCGCAACTACTTGTCAATTATTTTTCACTTGTAATATTCGAAACATTCGATATTGTCACTCATTTTTATATTTAAATAACATTGTAACCTCCTTATTTGATATAAAACAGATAATAGTTATTTTTTCAAGATAAAAAATTTGGGATAGATAAACATTACCACCCACTTTTATTTTTACAAAACCAGTGGATATTAATTGCCAAAAAATTGCGGAATACACCTTAAAACCGTTCAAAATGCAACTCACCAGCCTATTTGACGCAATGAGTGAATAATTATATTGTCAACCTCCTCCATCATCCGTAAAAACGTGAAAATTCTAAAATCTTCTACAGTATTATATCGAAAGAAATTCAAGATGTATTGCATAAATTTAACCTGTCCATGAGTGAACAAACATTAGTGCACTATGCAATTATACAGATGGCGCGGTCAAATTGTCAGTTTTGCCAACGCGAAATGCACTCGTACTATATTGATCGTTTCATTTTTTCTTGTCTCTGATTTACACAGTACTTTTTAAAAAAGAGTGAATGTTTTATAACTATAACTGTAAAAAAACGCATACAGTTCACTATATATTGCGTTATAGAACGCTATAGACGAGAACAAATCACGTTGCATTTTACATTAATAAATGATCAAGTTTTAATATTTCACCGAGAAGTTTATTTTCACTTATTACTATTACATTATCATAACTAATTTCCCTTTTAAATTAATATTTGCGTAATCTATTCGATTAGAAATCAATGTAAGCAGAAATTAGCTCTGAAAATAAAATAAGAACAAAATTCTATACAGAAATTACAATTGGTTTAATTTTCAATAGACGTACGTATCGAACAAATGTGTAGAGAAATTTCCGTGTGTTAAGAAAATATGTAATCACAATATATGACACGTTACAACAAAAGTGAAATGGCACATTCACCACTTTTATTTATAACTTCTGTTGGGTTTCCAAAATTTGAACCTGCGCGCCACTTTTTCACATCGGGCGCGAGAATCGACTAGCAGGTAACTTCATGTCGTAAAGTAAAGATCAATTATTCGCGGCGAGAGGTCCGCACTCCGCGGAGTCGTGCGTTACGTTCGGTACGCGTCAACATCAGCTGTTGTTTCGCTCTCGTGTGAAATGACAGTTTCGCGGAGGTTCATGATGTGGAAATCGTTTTCGTGAGGGTGCTTCGTGTACCGCGGAGGCGAGTCGAATCCGATCATTTTTCCGAGAAAGATGAACGGGAGCCTGGGAATAATGCGTGGACCAGAGCAACATCCACAGAGGTTCGCGGATTATTTTGTCATATGCGGACTGGATAAAGATTCGGGCTTGGAGCCCGACAAGTATTTCGGTGAGTCTTACTTTTTTCTTCGAGCATCTTCAAAGGAACACGCAAGCTTCGCCGAAGCAAATCGTTTATCATTTATTTGATCTCTGAAGAATTAGATCGCGATTATGAATGTCGGACGATTTCACACTCTGACAGAAAGGCCATTCTACTGTTGTAATTTTAAAAATCGCTAGGTTGCGCAACGATAGATAATATATCTCAGATCGGTGAATCGCTCCAGTGTCGGTTATTTACGTTAACATGATATGCTTGTGTTCGAGAATCTGACTGAGACTCATTAGTCTTCATTATCTCCTTATTCTTGGTTTGTTAAATTTCTTTTTACAAATTGTAGAACTAGTTTGTTTGTTAATTAAAAGAAGTCTTTGTGTAATTTATGTAGCGTGTATCTTGTTTTATTTGCACGTGATTGACACGTGAATTTCAATCGATGCCATTGCACCCTTTAGAAAATACGTCCCTCTCAACGGACCCGTTGACAGTTACTTCGAACACGTTATCGCGAGTTTCTTCCCGCTATGTAAAACGCAAAGAGGAAATATTTGTCGTTTGTTTATTGGAGCGTGTAAGATAGCATATTTTTTATGGTTATATTTTCATGAATTAAACGTTTCGTTTCTGATATGTTTGCAAATATAAATAGCCATCAATGTCAAATAAATCTTATAGTCTCGTTAAGTTAGTACTATCAAAGGAAGCCGTGTATAATGGAAAACTGAACGTTCGATAATAATCAAGTTCATTGTATATTTTTAATTTCATATTTTTTAATGTCACTTAAATCGATATTTTCATTCGCTTATTTTTAATCTTCTGTGAAGGATGTTTATCGCGTGTTCCATAACAAAATGCGTTGTGAACATAAATATTATTAAATTGTAAATGCAATAAACAGTTACATGATGATTATTATCCTTTGTCGTTATTGAAATAATACCAATTTAATAATTTAATCATTAATTGTTTATTTAAAACTCTTCAATATTAAAGTATTTCAAAGGAACTTTTCAACCAAATATATTTCAAAGTTACTTCTAAAGTTAGTTACAAATAAAACAACACAACCATTTTTCAACGAAATTTTGAATTAACTTAAAGCGCAATATCGTGGAACAACATTTTTATTCTAGTTTACTACGAGGCGGTATACGTTTTATAGCGTGTACTACAGTTCACTGTACTACGGTACATTTGATCAAAAATTTACTTTCCAGGATATTTTCGTTTTGAATGTTAGTTGCAAGAGAGTAGTAATTGAAACAATGAAAACACTTGTAAGAGTATTTATTTACATGGAAAATAAAATTAAAATAAAAACTAGAACGTCATATAAATTTTTGTAAAATAAAATAACTTATTAATTTAAAAAAGTCAAAATTGTAATTTAATAGTGAAACTTTTATACAATATACATACTTCGAATAACAAAGTTGTGTCAATTTATCACTACATCTTATTACGTATACGCATTACTATCGGTAAATTTCATAACTTATGATAACTCGAATACTAGGAACCCATATTTTATTTGTTTACACAATTGTATCCCCCGTTATTTTGACCAAAGAACATTTTCGTAAACGTTATTGTTTACGTAGAACAGTTATTAGTCTGCTGCGACACAATAAAAGGGTCCGTACCATTGAAAATGCAATTACTAGACTAATAAACTTCCCTGAATATTTGATTGTTTGTTGGCCGATGGTTGGTAGCACACTCGCCCGCGCAAAACCGCTCGAAAGACGAACAATGAGGGCATAGGAAACGGCGGATGCTCCCTAGAAGAAAGATGCTGCTCTCGTTTGAAAGATTCTTTTCCGAGAACGGCTCGGGAGAGGATCGTTTTACGAAGCAGCATGTCGATGTTGAGAAAATTCCGCTTTAAAAGATGCACGTGTCGAGTGATGACCACTTGCCTCGTTTTAGCGATCGGCCGCAGCTTCTTGTGTTTGTTTACGTAACTTGCGCAGACTTCGCGCGTTGCTTGTTTTGGATTAACGTTTCACGGCCATGTTGGTTGCTTACCGTCACGCGCAATTTGTCGCCTACTTCAAAATAAAATTTGTTTCCCGTGTATACTAATGAACGTAAAGTATTTAAAAACTGTGCACTGGGCGTACTGGTAAGATTGTATGAAATTTCAAGGGTGTTTAGTAGTCACTATAGTAAATGTAGAATAAATATTTATCCAAGAACTTGTTTTTAAGCTATAAAAAGTCGACTGCGATATGAGCTTGGCACAATCTTTTTTTGAACTCCTTGTATAAGGTTCAAACTAGGAATACAGAGAAAATATGTATAATTGAATATATTAGATTTTATTCAAGATGGAAAATATATATTTGTGTTTATTATATAGGTTATTGTTATACTCTGTAAAAATCAGCCTTAAAAGACGTAAAACTAAACTTTTGATGCATATAATGATTTATTATGCAGCATATGTCTTTTTATTGTTTGTTGGATTGATAAGCGTCAGATGGTGATATACATACATTTGCCGCATTATCATCATGTAATTGTTAGAATACTACTACCAAACCTTTATATTTCATATTATTCATTAAATTCTTTTGTTACAAAACATGTGATTAGAGATATACAGAACAGGGAAGGGTTTGAAGATAAATCATTGCTCTGTTTTTGTGAGATTCTAATTAAGTCAATCATTTTCAAATAGTTCTACTTGAACGAAGTATTCATGCAAAAACATTCACGCTTTTCGTGGTTGTTTGATTCAGCCTCTTCGGGGAATTTATGTAATGTCGTTAGTTTTCAAGGTAGTCGGATGTGCCGGACGTAACTGAATCCTGAAAACTCGCGCGCTGACCGATGAAAGTGGCCGGTATTGAGTTACGACACACTTGTTTCGCTACGAATTTCTACGGTTGTTAAGTGCAACACGTGTATGCGTGCAACGTCGCCGCAACCGCGCAACGACTTATCACTGGCTTCTAGCATTACACCAGCATCTGCGTTTTCAATACAATCTTCTGACGATTACAAAATTAAGATATCAACCAATTTTGACTTTTTCTTTGCGGTTAAATAGCTAAACCTGATACGTGCGGTTTTCCCAATTTTACAGTACAGCAATTTTTAAATTTGTTCACATGTGAAAAATTACAACGTTTTTAAAAATATCGCAAATTGAAAATAAAGCAAATTAACAAAAGAAATAAAAATGAATACTTTCATAATGTTTTCTTTTGAAAACAAAACTGCAAAAGTGTCCTAAAGTTACTGACCGATCGCATTAAAAAATGTTCAGAGTGCAAAGGGTTAATTAAACCTTTAGTAATTGTAAACAGAAATTTCAAGTGACTAATTGAGTAACGTTGATCATATAACTATGAGATTCAAGTTTTAAAAGGAATTTAAAATTTACTTTTAGAATATTTTAAGTGAATTTATCTGAAATTCTAAGAATTACACGAACCGTAACATTTTAAATGCTTATGTCTTGAAAACGAAGCTGTAGATTCCAAAGTAATAAAGAAATTTCCGATTTCTTTTGTCCTGGATGATAATTCCAGTAATTTTATTATACTTGCAATAATTTTGAAATTCTATGTATAGTTTAATAGAAGAAAAAACTGTAAGATAAACTTATTATCAATTTTACTAAGTAATTTTGTCCCGTAAGGTTAGAATGACTGAGAGTTCACAATTTTGAAAAACATTTCTTTAGAGAAAAAAAAAAATTAATATTGTTCCAATAAACTTGCCATCTTACAAATTGGCTTTTAGCTGTTTAAAACGAGTTTACTTAACTGGAATATTTTTTACACTTTTTCAATTTTTCGTTAAAATAGGACGATTAAATATAATAAGCGTTGTAATCTCATCTGGAGGTGATAAAACAGGAATGTACACGCGGCGAGTTTTTCTGTCAGCACAAATTGAAAGAAACGCGGACTAAAACAAAGTAGTTTGCACCTTTACCGACGAGCGCCTGCAAAACACACGGGCTATAAATTGAAACGTAATTCTGGCGCGGCTCAGAACGTACATTCTGCGTGGCGAACAAAGGCTAATTGTGAACAATGGTAACAAGAAGGAGATAATTCCCGCTTTCGTTGAATAGTAACCTTCGACCCCGTTCGTCCGATGTGTTTAGCCGTGTCGCGTAAAATGAATATTCTTGTCGAGTAGAGAGCTGCAAGTTTTACTGCTCTAACACATTTAGTTACAGGATTTCAATAGATTATTCTGTCGAAATTGAAAAATTATTTTTCCATGGAAAATGATTTTAATCTGTTAATGGAATATTAACTGTAATGTGATTTTACACGAATTAGGGCAAACCAGTATTTAACTTATGAGTTAAATTTAGGTTAGGTTATGTATGCAAAATGATATGAATAAATATTGTTAAAGCAGTGGTTTTAGATTAAAGCAGCTTTTGAAAGAACTTCGTTTATTAGATTTTATGATTGTTATTACGTTCGAGGTACTGTTTTAAACAACAAGCAGACAATCTAAAAGTATTTCTGTTTTTATGCTTTTCATATTCCTACGAACATTATTTTAATGCACCAATTCACAATCTTACTGTGGCTATAGAATAGCATTTAGCAAACAATGAAAAAAGCAGTGGTATTGTTGACAAAAGCGATTTTGCATTTGTAAAAACGAGGTGCACTCGAAAAGAACTCCCCCTTCGTGTTCCTAAACGTACAAAAAAAAAAGAGAAAAGGGAAGTGGAAAAGTAGGTGGCTTTTCGTACCGTACATCTCGTCCCAGCAGTTTCCTCGAGTTTTTCTAAAAAAAAAAAAAGACGTTTTCGAATAAAGCGCGGTACGACAAAGAAACGGGGGGAATTCTAAAGATACTGCATGCTGAGAGCAGCTGCAACAGATGCAGCGCAATGCACCAGGAGCACCCTCGATGGTGACGAAATTAATCAGAACCCAAGAGCTTTTGGAAACGAATCCCATGTATTTACCTACTGTGATGAACGAGTCGATATATTATCTGAGTAATTAATTGTTCAGATT